CGGAATATCTCTATTATAGCGATATTTGACCCGCCATACCCACTTTATATCATTATTTGACCCGCCATACCCACATTATATCATTATTTGACCCGCCATACCCACATTATAGCAATATTTGACCCGCCATACCCACATTATATCCATATATAAGACCCTTAAAATCACATTCAATTGATATAAACGTGGTTTATATTAAACTTTTGATATTAAAAATTTAAGTATATCTATTTTAATTAAAATCATATTATATAAGACCAAACTTACAAATAAAGTTATATAAATATTATTTACATTACATTATTCAAAAATACTAATAAAACTATAATTATTGATTATAATAGTTTTATATAATTCATTAATTATTTAGATATTCAATCCATGTCTCAGATAAAAATAATAAACCATTGAAAATAATATCGAACCGATATTTATTAAAAATATGTGCAAACATAATATTATATATTTATTAAAATAAATAAAATGAATTATCATTAATTCAATAATGATTGCCATTTATTATTAAAATATAAGATAAATTATAAATATTAGTGAATATATTATAATATTTCTAATTTTTTATATCAATAACATTATTTTACCGTATATTTTTAATGAATTTATACAAAATTTATATAACCTATTACAGTATATTTAAGGCAAAATATATTAATTATAAGTGTATTATATGTTATGATAAATATAATGAGTTTGCAGATTCAAATATAGACATACTTGAAGTATGGCGGGTCAAATATTTATATTATGGGGGTATGGCGGGTCAAATATTGCTATAATGTGGGTATGGCGGGTCAAATAATGATAAAATGGGGATATGGCGGGTCAAATATTGATATAATGGGGGTATGGCGGGTCAAATATCGATATAAAATGGGGATATGGCGGGTCAAATATTGATATAATGTGGGTATGGCGGGTCAAATATCGATATAAAGTGGGTATGGCGGGTCAAATATTGATATAATAAGGGTATGGCGGGTCAAATAATGATATAAAGTGGGTATGGCGGGTCAAATATCGCTATAATAGATATTCCGGGTCAGATATTCGTATAATGAGGGTATGGCGGATATGGCGGGTATGGCGGGTATGGCGGGTATGGCGGGTATGGCAATTAAGACAGTCCCATGATAGTAGCATATTAGTATGATAGTAAATTCATATTTGTTAAATGAATATAAAAAATGAGTTAAAAGTCTAGTCATTTGGATCCTTAGAAATATATTTTTAAATAACAAATTTTGTAATAATTTTACACCCAAAAACATTATTTACGAAAATCTATTTTAGTTTAATTGTACAATATTCCAGCTAATTTGTTTTCAAGTTATATTTTCATTTTTATTAAAAATAAGAAATTTGAATATATAATTATGATTAAAATAGTTGTAAATATGACCATGAATCTGTTTTCTTAAATATAAATAGTAAACAAGCTGTGTATAATTTTTCACGTGAAAAACACGTGTAAATTTTAAATAATTCTACAGTATATGCATAACATACAGAATATTATAGAGAATATTAAATTAAATGCTATTATTTTCACAATACAGTTGTTTAAATAATATGTTATATTCAACTAATATATGACAAAAACTTACACAAACTTGTTTTATGTGAATAACTAAATAAATTATATTTTCTTTTTATAATACCATTTTCACATTAATTGAAATAATTTGTTTCTAACTAGATATTTTATTTTCTAAGATAAGACTATATTTATAATATCTGATCCTTTCCGATTTAAAATACAGATAACAATTTTTTTAATTAGTTTATTTTAAAGTTGTTGATCACAGTTATATCTAATAAATTTATTGAGTTATAGTATAACTCAGACTCGACTAAGGAGTCAAATTGGGAGTCAAACTCTCACACGTTTTTAATATCCTTCAAATGTTTGGCTCACAAGTATAGTCCTCATTAGTGTGAGTGAGAGATATAAAGTATTAACAGAAAATTATAAGCTGTAATATTGAAATAAAACATTTATTTTAGTGTTTATATGTTTAAAACATTGACTAACTGATAGAAATGTATCTGATTAGTTACAGTTACAGTAGTTGATTTCGTAAATATTTTTAAAACTGTAATTCTATAATTATATAGTAAAATTCAATTTAGAAATTTCTAGAAATCACACATTTACAGGTGACTGTGAATATAGTAAAAATAGTAATGATATTTGTGTTTAAGTAAGCACATAAAAGTGCGTAACCAAAAAGTACGTTAAAATTAGTCAACGCCGATAAACCATTGACAGTGACGTAGCGCATGGATGTGACCGTACCTGTTAGGGGCATATACTGTGCCACAGACTGTAGTACCCCTGGCATTGACTCTATCGGCCATAATAGGCCTGTTGTAGCCCATGAAGGAAATGTCATGAATGCGATAAATATCTGAAAGTAGTAAAATTATTTTTAAAATTGGTTTACATACTATATTAGCAATATTATTTATAATAATTTATAATAATCTAGATAATTGTACGAAATTTGTAAATATTTAATACGAACACATAATTTTAATATACCTTATGTAATACTTATTTTAAATAATAATATATTTTTATTACTACTGTATAACAGTTTGTTTTAAATGTACATTTAACAATTTAATTTTATGAGCATGGTGACATACCATACTGGAGGTTCTTGATTGTAGCGACAAACTCACTGAAGCACCCAGGCACATGTAAACTAAGCCATTCAACATCAATAACAACGCCATGAAAAATACTCGACCATCAATGGGATACTCATTCAGATATATGAGTATCGAGAGTACAACAAGTGTTTGTATTATGATATTAATAAGCACCACCATGTATTTAACCAGCAACATTTCAATGGGCAGTATGCCTGCCATAATGGACCTATCATACTTGCCACATGAACGGTCATCTGTGAAATCTAATACAAAATACACACTTAATACTAGTGTATAAAACTGGCATATGCCAATTACCACCCCGGTCATTAAGTACAGAATGTATATGCGATATTCGCTGAACTTATAATTTTGATGAAACTGTATGTTTATGGGCGAGGTGTAGGCGCTAGGATTAACATTGATAGTTTTGCTATAGTTTTGGGCTAGTAGTTTATACGCTTGTATTATATTAAAATAAACTAACTGAGCTCTGATTGAGTCAGTCATGTCGACGTACACTTTGACCAAGCTACTTCCATCGTCGTAATCAACATCCCGGGGTTCAGTTGATGAAACTTATGGCTAAACTCCTCGTCCAATACAATGGACAGTATGTTTTTGCCCAACACCACCGACTCGTATGCCGTTGTGTTTGTGTCGTACAGGCGTTTGAAAAACAATTGACTGTCCAATAGGTCTACGAATTGGTGGGACAGTAGTGCCGTCCCATTGGACTCCCGGTTCACGATAGCTATGGGGATGTTATGTGGCTCGTCATAAGCCATATGTACGATACAAATGGTTATTATAGGGAATAAATAATATAATAAATGCAACGGTATGTTAGCTTTGAAAGCTATATTGTGTTGAAATACCAGTGCTTTCACACGCGTCCTATTAATTGGTTTAAATATTTTTGTTAGTTTGTCATAATTATGGGTCAAATCGGTTGTAAAACTTATAGATGTATTAGTTATGGATGAAACCGTTTTGCCTAAATCTTGACAGGAATTATAGTAGACGTCATCCAATGTGTGGCACCGGTAGTCTACTAGCAGTTGTTGTGGTGATCCGTAGGCTACAGATTGGCCGTTGGATATGAAACATACGGTTCCAGCGTTTATGGCTTCAGACATATAATGAGTGCTTATTATGACTGTTGTGTCTATTCATACAAATACAGGGATTAGTGTTAGGATTAGCATAATATTATAATGAGAGGCGAACCATTTTTGAGGCACAGTTCCTCCAAGTAGCGCCATATCTGGTGCCTTATAAGCGGGTCGACCCCTACAGTCGGCTCATCCAGTATTAAGAGCTTCGGTGAGTGAATGAGTGCTGCGGACAGAGAGACCAGACGTCGTTCGCCACCACTTAGACGGTCGACCCGTCTATCCATTTGTGGTAATCGTAATAAAACGG